CTATGAGTGTATGTTTGAGTGTGTTTTTGAGTGATGTTTGGTCGGGAAAAGTAACCTTGAACCCTCTGCCGCAGTAATTGATGTATTTGTAGGTTATATTATGTTTTTTGAGGCAGATGCCAAATTCGTTGGTGGAATAGGTTTGGTTTAGAGGAGTGTTTGTGTTTGTGGCGAATGCTAGGAGTAGGTGGTTGGTGGTTGGTGGTTGGGGTGGTGTGTCCTTGGCGCATGTTGTTTCGTTTGAGAGTTGTGTTTCTTCGGGGGATACGTGGGGGCGTTTTTTTTTGAATTGAGTATTTGAGTTTGAAGTAGTAGGATGAGGTGTAGATTTGATTGTTTTTAGTGGTTGGGATGATAAAAGTTGTTCAATATCGATGCCAAAGTTTATAGGTATAGTGTTTATGCTGTGGGGGGAGGTGAGTTCCCGGAAGTCGTTGTTGGGGGTGGAGAAGAGTGACGATGATGGTAGTGGGGGAGGACATGTTGGGGGGGTGGGAGGGGCGGGGAAAAAAGGGTTTGGAGGTGGGGGACGCAATGGGGTGGGGTGTGGGTGTGGAACATACAATAAATACAAAATGAACAATATATAAATACAATGAAGAATTGGTGAGGATGAAATATTTACAAAAGAATTTGAGTGATGGTTGGTTGTTATTTACAAGTTATACTGATTTTGATGGTGGGTATTTACAAGAAAAGCAAGTGATACTTGCCGACTGGGTGGGGCTAGAGCCCGGAGGGCCGGTGGCTAGACGCACTGGTCGGGTCTTGACAGAAAGTCTTTGATCGGAGTTTGAGGTAGATGGTGATAGTGATGGGAATATGGTGAAGCCAGGGCCGGGCAGGTTGATTGGTTTTGTCCGTGGATGCAGCAGCGTTGTATACGTCCAGCTCGAAGGAAGCTCAATCAATGAATGACTGAATGTGAAAATTTATATTGTACTTCCCAACTTCTAAAATGCCACTCAAAAAAGCTCTCGAAAAACGACGCCACGTGAGGATATTTATCTTGTTATGTCATCACGTCGCAACAGATTTGCCAGTGCACCAGATCTTGCTCAAAGTCTTCGGTAGACTACAAGAACGTGAGTGCATCTCCAGCTCGTCCGTAATCGTCTCCATTCTGCTGGGCTCTGTTCCCATCGTCCCCCCAAGGCTATACCGTTAATGCCACGTCATGTTCAAGAACGGTTAACATGGACGCGTGCCCATCAAAAATGGCGTCTTGCTCAGTGGAAGGAAGTCCTCTTTAGTGACGACTCGCGGTTCTGTCTGCCGTTTTGAGATGGCAGAAGTCGTGTATCATGGGGACGTCGAGGAGAACGTTATCAACCTGACAACGTCATGGAGCGTGACCGTTGCGGGGGTGGAAGTGTCATGGTTTGGGGTGGGATCCTTTGGGACGGCAACACTGATCTGATTGTGATGAACGACACCCTGACAGCTCAGCGATATTGCGATGTGGTGATAACGCCAGTGGTCATACCCTTCCTTAGGATCCCGGACACCTTTTTCCAACAGGACATTGCACGTCCACATGCAGCTCGCCTGACTCAAAATCTGCTGCAGCACATCATTGACGTCTTAACATAGCCAGCAAGGTCATCAGACCTTGCCCCAATCGAACATGCCAGGGACATTCTCGGGAGAAGCTTCCGGAAGAACCACCCTAACATCCAGAATGTGAACAACTTTGGCAATGCCCTTCAGCTGGAATGGGGAAACACCACCCCTTCATCAGGTTCAGCAGCTCATTATAAGTATGAGAAAACGTGTGGCGGTACAGCAAGCTGAGAGCCGACACACACGATACTGACCTCTCCTTATTAGTGTGTGTGAATTTTACTGACCCACCCCTCTCACTTTGTAGTGCACCTGCTTTCCATTTTGTAATGACGTCACCACTGTTTGTTTCAGTTATGTAATCGAAAATGGTCAAAGTAAAGTTTGAAATGATGCAGTGATTCTTATCCTCATTTCTCTCTGTTCATTTGACTGTTTCACTAATTTCGAGTGGGCATCCACTTCAATATATCTCTTGTATAGCAATGTCTCACCGACGATGTCCAATATATCACGTAGTGGCTCCAAGGCAATGTACTGTAACTGTTCATTATTAATGGCTTCACATACAGTGGACACAGTCGCTCCTGTGTTCAGCAAAGCTCGGACTGGTTAACCATAAAGCAGGAAGTTGTCTTCATTAGAAGTATAGGCAATGACAGTTCTATTACAGGTCCCCATAAGTGTTATTGCAGGCAAACTCCGGCCCCTGCGGGAGTGAAAAATAAGGCTTGAATGATGGCGGACCATCATTCGCCGTCCATGCAAATCGGTCCTCTTTTATGAGTGAGGTGAGGTCAGTTTTACGCTGCACTCAGCAATACTCCAGCTATATGGCGACGGTCTGTTAATAATCCAGTGGTCAACAGCATGAGCATTGATCTGCGCAATTGGGAACCAATGACATGTGTCAACAACCAGCTTCGCGATCCCGTTAGTTGCCTCATACGACAAGCATGGGTTACTGAACGTTCATTCTAGCCTGGACCTTCACGGGTCGTACCTCTTTTGGAGATGAGATATTGTGTGTAGTATAATGAAAATGAAAGTGCAAGAAAAGTGCTATCGTCATAGCTGGAAGAGAGACAGACATTCGGGGTTGTTGCAAGTGGGCAGGAGAAAGATCCAGTAGAGGCGTGCCGTTAAGGACGGGACTGTTGTTTGAGCCAACCAAACATTGAATCTTGCATTAAAAGAGAAGTCTCACTATGCGTAACCGTTCGTGGACGGGAAACAAAAAAATACCTGGATAACGAGACATGGGCAGGTTTGACACTATATTTAGAGTTCGTGAAGAACCAGCTCAAACTTTCTGGAAAGTTGGAAAGACTGTGACATGGCTTCCGACCACTTTAACGGTTTTACCGAACACCATGAAACCATCTAATTATTTTATGGATTTACATTGACATCGAGGAAACAGTTCAGCATCAATTTCCGATGATCTTTTGGTTTTGGAACACAAATGCTTGCCGGGCTTGTTGCCTGCCCTGTTCTGTGAGCTGTTTCTCAACTTTGCCGATGTTGCTCATCTTGAGGACCTTGGTTCGAATCTCTTGTTTCATCCAGTGGTACTTGGCCAGTTCTGCCGAGATCAGACAGAGCTCTTGCTCTGTGATATTACTGTTGGTGAGCGCCATTGATACGAGATCATGGATCGTGTTCAACTTGGCTTTGGCCAGAACCCTGATCTCGTTGTGCTTCAGGGCTTTGTGTTTCAGCAGACGTGAAATGAATTTGAGTGCTATTCCTGCCAGCTCCTCATAGTGAGTGAGTGAGTGAGTCACATCGGCAATATCTCAATAATATTCAATAATATCGAGCTTGATAAGCAAACAATGATAGTTTCCGATGATAGTTTGACTTTGACAGAGCTGTCAGATTGTTCCAAAGAACTCAGAGGTGACAGTAATCCTTGCTACTGGCTCGGGTGACACTGCTACAAAAAGACGTACATCAGACGGTATTACCCTCGAGAGAAGCATACAACTTATACTACTAACGCGTTATATAAATGACAGTACAACATAAAACAATAAAATATTTGCCAAACTCTTGCTTTTTGATAAATAAACACAAAGAAATATTAAATTATCATGACTTCCAAATAATGAAAATGACTGCCATTTCGCTCCATATATGTTCAATGGCAATAGTAGTTTAAGTGGCACACCTTTTGGGATAGCGCTCCAGAGTTACCTTCTTGACCGGTTGTTTATGAGTTGACTTCGTCATGTCGTGGAGTTTTCCACACATTTCGGGAAAGTACTGAGTGAATAATGATACAGCCATGCTTTGCTGGAATGTTCAAGAATCTGTGCCAGTATATAAAAAGGCTGGCTGTTGTGTTGTGCGGCGCAAGGACTAACACACGGAATTACACGGGACTTTTGATATCACTGGAGTTGCCTATGATCGTCTGTCTGTCAACATCATCTGACCTATATTCAAGACTGACACTGTGTGCCTGACTTCTGTCATTGAACTACCTTCATTCAGTATATCTGCTAAAATTAAGTATCAAGGCTCCTGGTGAGTTAATATCGTATATATGTGACCTAAAACTTTAGATTTGTGACTCAACTGCATTGTACTAGAAATCTGTATTGTGCTTCATTGTAGTTTGCTCATTGTTTGCTCAATATATTATTGAATATTTTAGACTTGTCTGTGTTATATTTTGCTGGTTCAAAGGGGATTTTAATACCTTTTGTCACGGCAATTATTTAACCGTAACACTAAGAAACAACCAAGAAATGTCAAACAAATGACAGGTATATAATAACATTGACTAGGGTTACAAATCCATACAAGTTCTACACAGGAATACCAATTAAAAAAATAGAATGGTTGTAAATTGCAAAAAAGGAAACCTGACATACGTGAAAATTATGCCATCAGCCATCAGATTTTGTAACAATCAAATACAACGCAAAAATAATCAAGTAAGTGAGCGAATGGTGATGCAAAAATAGTAGAAAACATTCCCATTTGCATAAATGCAAACCTTGGAGAAACGCGTCATAATGTTCTGTAACTGACCAACTCTCTGCTGGAGATAATTAAAAGACTTACCTTGTGACGTTCTGGTCCTGCCTGTCATTAACTATTGAGATCCGAGAAGATCCAGGTTAGGATTAGTCCTCAGCAGCACTTTCTTGTCCTAAGAGGCGACGAACGGGATTGGTGGTCAGGCTCACTGATATGTATACTTGTCAGATATGTATTTTTTGAATAGGATTTTCTGTTAGTGAAAAAGACGTCCCATGCCTCACACTCAAAGCCAATTTTCAACAGCTTTCTCTCAAATCACCTTATTTCCTCTTCGCTCTCCTCCTGACACCCCTGGTTGCTCCACCTTATTTCCCTCCATTATTATTCCTTACTCTGAAAATGTCATGGAAAATATGTGTTTTCATTTCATATGTTAATTTCAGCATTAGGAATATATTGAAACTGGTCATCACTATCAGCCTTGTGTTTGAACTGGCAGTCGCCCAAACAGCCCCTGTCTCAGGTTGGTTTTTAGCCTCATACAAATCACAATTCATTGCGATGTTTTCTTAAGCTGCTAGTTTATGTGATCAAAAGTGCAATTTATATCAAGGTGAATGCTCGAATTACTATCCACGAGCCCATCCACAGTAGCAAGAATAGTTCCCAATAGGAATAGAGCAGGTGTCATAATTCAAGAAGGTAATCGTGTGATCTTTTTTAGTGTGAAATAGCACCATGTATTTTTCCGTATAGTTTGTGAATGTACTACCAGTGGCGCTAGTGTATGTTCGGTGTTTTGACTCGTATACAAAACCATTCCTCTTATTTTGAGGGAAGTTCAGACAAATTGTTCGACGTGTTCTTTGAAACTCTTAATTGTCTTCCATTTTGTCTGCTTTCTCGAAATGGCATATTTTTGTCTGTTTTTTGTTTGTTTGTTTTTTATATAAAAAAATCTGTTTAATTTGATGGCAAAGTTGCAAGTGAACAACCAAGCTAAACCTACGTTAAGTGTTGCTATGAAGCATAACGTAATGTGCCAATCATAATTACACAGGGTCACCGAACTCTCTGAATCAGTTGCTGGCCAAAACTACCCTCATACGTCTGACAGTGCCATATATAGCATAGTTGTATTGTCCTTTTAATCATCATAGAGGCCATACCGTGTAAGCAGTATATAGCATTAACATTAAGAATCATATATTCAAGTTTCTTTGTTATACAATGCAAAGCGTGTCATATTTTTGTGTTTTGAATAATTTACATATGGTATATATAAGTTGGGGGGAGGGATGTTACATTTCATTTCCTTAAATCGTTTACATTTCCATCCTTTACCAAATATGACTTGTCTTCAATTCAGATCCATGCACAACATATAGACCTTTCCCTGATTCTGAGCATCGTGGTACTAACTACACACTTAGTGATGGACAATCCAGCATTGACGACAATGAGTTGACTGAAGGGTGGTATGGAGACACGAGGTACACTTTAGTGGATGAATCCCCTGGTTTCTACAAATGTGGAGGATGGTACCCAATGTACATACAAGGTACTACCCATTATACTTGAAATGATGACTACGATATTAAACAGTAATCATAAGATTTAATACACGTTACCATAAAGGATAATGACTATGTGACACATTCCTTATGTCATCTGTGCCCTTGACATCTATTGGTTTCTGATTGCCTCCGATGAATCTTCCCTGTAGAACGTACAACTCATGTTAAAATGGAAATGCTTATTCACATGCTACATATATCCTTGATATTCACTTAAAACGTATTATGACCACAACATCTTCACTTCACAGGTCCAACAATCTCATCTACGGTGACGGTGTGTGTTCAGACGATATCTGAACCATGTAAATATCCCTTCGAGATTGAACGAAGAACATGCAGTGGATATGACGTTTACTATTTGCCTCAAGCTCCTGTCCACCGGGCTGTGTATTGTCTATGTATGTATAGTTAGGGAGTATTGCAATGGTCTAAAAGACCAATTAACATAGGAATGACAACCATTATATGAATACCACTGTGCTATTCACCTCTTGTGCACACTAACGTATAATATAAACCAAGAGAATGGCATTTATTGCCTCACCTTCTCCGTCTATGAATTGCCCATCCCTTCTCATTGTAGTGGAAAGTTCAGTGCTAGCGCTTCATAAGAACAGAAAAAAAATCTCACCCACACATATCCCAGCACCGTGTGCACATGCGCAAGTGACTCGTCATTGTCTCATTTTCCACGTCCATAGGGCATTTGGGAAAAATTAACTGCTTTCGTAATCCAATCCATCTGTTCAAAAGTAACCCTTCCTCATCATATTCTTTGCTTGGATTACATTTGCCAAATCTGTATGCATCATACTATAACCTTATTTTTCACTTTTGGCTTAACCTATTTATGCATATTGTCCGTTTCTGGGACGGGTACTTAAAAACATTTCTCTCGTATTGTTAAAAATAGAGACTTGCAGTATAGATGTTAATGGAGATGGGTAAATTGTTTAGTGGTAGGACCATTCACATTACGTGTTGAGTCACATTCCACTGGTAACCTCCAGTGCAAGGCAGCTACCTTACCAATTCTGCAAAGTGTGAGATCAGATGTTTTTTTTCTTAATCTCAAATTTAACTATGTTAGTTCATTAGAGTGTATTTAAACATTTCGTTATTCAAATAGAAAAATAGAATGAAAATTGTTTGCATTTTTCCATACTCAGTTGTCCGCCAAATTACCGTCCCCAAAATGAGACAATATACAGATTAGTGTACTTATTTTAGGTAATTGGTTAGGATCTGTATGATCAAGTATTTTTGACGACATCCTACAGTGCATAATTTGAAAAAAGCTAAAATCTTAAATGGCAGGCTCGACCCTCATTTAACAGAATAAGAGTCAGTCTTGGAGAAGATATGTTTCCCCCAAAAAAATTCACGCACACCGATTTCAAAGGTGTGGAACATGGTACAAAGAGTAAAGGGCAAATGTTCAAAATCTCCCGTTCACCATTTGAAAGATGGTGATAATTTATTAACTGATAGAGCTGACATTGCCAACAAACTTGGTGACACTCTCTCCAAACATTCGTCTTCATCCAATTATGTCTATGAGTTTCACAAACATCACAAAACAAGAGGTAGTTTACAACTTCTAAACACTTGATGTTCTCTGAGTACGTTACTTTTTAATCAAGCAAATTAAATACATCATTAGATTTTAGCCATATAATACTTACAATGACATACCAAGAAATACTAACTCGTGTAATACCGCTAGACGCTATTTTTTGATAAAAATGGTATTTCACGGAAGCGAGCTTAGTATTCTGTTTATTACTCTCTGACAAAAATTGATACAAACTGCGGCGAAACTGCCTACAGTGTGATGACTCTCAGCTTTCCGTTAGTCAAGCAAGGCTTACTACCATTGTGGCAGAGATATTAACATTGTGACGTCATATGTCTAGCGGTATTACACATGAGTAATATTGCCGTAAAAATATTACACTGCAGTACCTTCCACGGGCGAGTGATAACAAGAAATACTTACCCGCGAAAGATGCATACGCTGGTGCTGACATTTTACCGTGCATGTGAACCCATCTACTGAACACTGGAAAATAACCCTGTACCCATCTGTGCATATTGTAGCATATTTAGGGCGCACTTTGGTAGTGTTAAGAAAGTACGGAAAAATGTATTTACTGGTAAATGACACCCCATTCCTTTCATTGCTTGCCAAAAGAAACTAGGTCACAAAATTTGATGAAAATCTAAGACCCTATGCATATATGGGTTAAAATATTTTACAGATTTTAACTTAAAGTTGCAATTTTCAATAAAATGAAGTTGTGTGACACATTCGGAATGCGTGTTTCAGATCACGATCCATATCCAGTCTTTTTTGCCTGCATTCCACGGATGTGTTCGAATTATACTAGGTTCAGTCGTCACTGCTCTTCTCTTAACAACAGAGCTTCCAGTACGTACAGATCTTCAGACTCAACCCTGTTGTGAACTACAGAGCTTCACACACGCTGCGTATAATCAGCAAACCAAAAGCAGGCGAGCGAGTGTTACTTAATATGCAGCTGCAGGGCTCCATAAACCATTCGCCATCGGCGGTCTCCACGCTCCTGAGCAAAGATACCTTGCGGATGTCTCTACGTGCGTCTATGGCGCCGATCCCTCACAACACATTGCTACCACTTTTGAGCCTGCGGCAGCTGATTTAAGCTCACATCATCTACGATGATAGACAGCTGTTAAATAGGACTGACGATGGGTTACCTATAGCGTCCCCATCTAAGGATACCTATGGTATCTGAAAGGATAACTTGGAGTCTTCTCACCTTGCTGACAACTGGAACATGTTATTGAAACTTAACCAAAGTTTTCGCGAAGTATTACAGGATGCACGGTCTTTCCAGTTTTCATATCCACATTAGTTCATGCTACATGGCATATAACCTTACATGTACCGGAGCTAGATGACTACAGCATGCTGGCAGACTCCAAGAGTAAATCCTACAGGGTTGAAGATAGACACAAGATAGCACAACTTGATAATATCATAAGACGAGTTTTCCTGGGGTGTCACCATGTATAGATCCATCATCGAGGCAATGATTTCTCACCTCAAGGATCCAGAGTCTGACAAAGATGACAATGTTTTGGGGTCCGACATGGTCAGCAAACAGAAGTACCAAGTGTCGATAAGATTTCAACCTCCGTGAATTTGATTCAAGTCCAAAAATATCGTTGGTTGAAGATACAGGAAGCCCTGCCAGCAGCTCTGTACAAACAGATAATTATCAAGCAATGGCAAGGGCTGTTAGGCTTACTCATGTCAGCCCAAGCACTGCAACTCAGATCCAGAGGTTTCTAACCCCATTTCTGGATCAACAAGACCCCAAAACACAAAACTACCACCTCATCTACTACAGTAACTTAAATGGTGAACGATATAGTCGAACGTCTGTGCAGGCACCGTCTTGAACGAACCAAGCTTCAACCTTCACCTGTTTGTAGTCGCATTTCTACAAGGTCTGGGAGTGCACCTGTACACATCACGGCTGTGGTCAAGTAAAGTGACTTCACATCAATCATCTAGAGTTTATTAGATGTATCAACCACTGGGCCAATCGACTGTCCATAAAGTCAGCTACCCTTTTGAAGCTAATGCTTAAATTATATCGTCCCACAGACTAAATATATAGATAAAGGCGGGACACATTCCAGCAGGCAGATGCCCTGTCCAGGCCGTGTGAGCCGTCACCAACAGAATGAAATCATCACCCAGAATCATTCCAACTGGTGATAAAACAACACAGTAGACCTTTTTGCAACCGATTCAACAACTAGATAAGCACCCTCGTCTCTCCGGTTCCAGACCCGTTAGAATTGACAAGTGATGCTCTGGTGTTATCATGGGTAGGGCTTCACGCGTATGCATCCCGCGACCAGCAATACTACCATGAGTACTGCAAAAGATCAGCCAGACCAGTCACCTGTTATTGCTATTTGTCGCGCCGCATCGAACTCGCAGGCAATCCGGTCCAGATTTGTCAAAATCTTCTTATTGATACTCACACGAAGTAGCAGCATCCAAACCCACAGATCTTCGCTCTCCACATATGGAGTATACAAACAGGAACTTGACTAATTAAAGCTACACCAGAAGAGGAGCGTCAGTTGTTTCTATGCAGATATGCTAGCTCTGTGCAGATCTACTAGAAGCCTGTATGACGATACGGGGATGAGTTTTGATCAATTTGCGAGAAGTAAGGGGTTTCCAGCAGACAAAGCTACACCATTTCTCTCACCTCAGAACCATGAAGAATATTAAGGGCTTAACGATGGGCAGCTATTTAGCAGCAATTTCTGCCATCACCATGGTGAACAGTGCTATACTCGCAAAAGTCTCTGCACTGATAGCATTGATACGTTCGTTCAGACTACAAGATCAACATAGCAAGTTTAACGCCCAAGCTTGGGACTTGAATAATTTCAATATAGTCCTCACCAGTGAAACGTATGAACCACTTAAACAGTAGCGCTTCATGGCAATTGCTCCATTACTACCATCATGGAAGGACGTTCTTTGAAGTCGGACACAGTGTTTGCCAATCATTACCTCCGAGATTTCACTACTGAGGATATGGAGGGTATTCCTCAAGTAGTGCTCGCCTAGCAGCTGACAATACTCATCCTACACGCAGACTCATGGTCTGGTTTCGGATTACTAATCATAAGTATCGACTGAGAGGCCATGTACCCCTGTTATCATGAGAACGCAGATGAATAATTGTGCAAGATTACGGATGGTTAATTATTCGTAAGTAAGCTGGAATCTACTTCTAAGCGGGCTTACAATATCCACAGAATCAAAGAGATTCACTCTTCTTTCACGAGTTTGGAGGTGATGCCCCACTGAAGAAGCTAATGACAACAAGTCAGAATAATACGTTCCCATGTAGAACAGATCGTCGCTCCAAATCATGCAAACGGTGGATCCCACCACTTATTGTGGGATTCAAGCAATTTGAACGGGTCAGGATATTCGAAATATGTATTTTATATATAAAAATACCATTTATACTTAACATGATTCATATGCTACAGCGCCAACCTAGCCGTCCGTGCTATCCATTTTCGGAGCGATAGGGGTACGCGAGGAGGCTGGGGTTGTGTGTTTCAGTTCTTGGGGAACACTAGCACTGCAGTTTCCGTAACCATTTCGGGATTGAGAAAAACTAAGCAATTAGTATGAATCAGGATAAATGTAAATGGTATATTTATAACCAAACAGTATTTGAAAATGGATTTTTTTCGGTTATCCTTTCAAGTGATGACTCATCTTCGTGGTAAATACCACACAAATTGTTAGTAATTATAATAATTACAAACTTAAATGTTCAGAAATGTGTCAGTTAAATCTGAATCAAGCAGTTACTTTAACTAAATTATATATTGACATGTTTCAAATGTATGTTTACATTTTTCAGCGGCAAGCCCTGGAGGTAAGAATTTACATGTGTCTAAGATTCAATGAATGCATCCAATATCACCACTGCAATCCGTACACGTTTTATTGCTGGGCGTTTTATTGTTTGTTAGAACACCAAACAATTACGCTGAATGATCAGTGGTTACGTCGGCAAGATGATAGTATCTGTCTGATCTGTGGTTTCGGTGTCACACTGCAACTTTCACAACCTGCAGCATTCCTGACAAATAGTTTGCTGTTTGCCTTATTAAGTAGTTCCCATAATAGTTCATTAAAAGTTGGAAGCTCATCTAGTTCTAGTCAACGATGATGAATTGTAATCTGGACTCTATAATCCTTATAATTACCTGCTTCAACATTTACTAAGTTTATATTTATGTTCCAGCACCTCCAGAGTTTATTGTAACATCAACAGTTAACTTTGGATTATTGCACAAACCTAGTTCAAGTGAACTATTGTCCTTTTGCAACTTCACCCGTTCTTCTGAAAACCTGTTCTACAAGACCATCTGGTATGTGGAAGGAGCGCCCATTTACACTTTCAAACCCCTCGAATGGAGCTCTGATGACACTGACTACATTGACAGCCGGAAGTTGACAGAACAATTGCTGCAGGAGAACGGGATTGAAAAGGCTGGATTTTATGTACGTACTTTGTCAGCATTGATTGTTTAAATTTGTTGTAGAATTTTTACAAATTTATCATAACAACGCACATACCTATCTTTTTACACGTTAAGATCCGGGTTAGAATTGATCTTCAGCAGCCTTTGTTTGTCGTGGGAGGCGACTAACGGGATGGGGTGGTCAGACTCACTGACTTGGATCGTATGCCATCTGAGTGCATCGATACTCAGGTTTGATTATGTACCGACCACCGTCGTATAGCTGGAATATGGCTGAGTATGGGTTTAAACAAGAAACAAACCTATCCTTTTAAATTGATACTGCACATGTTTAACAGCTGCATCAATGCCAGGTGATTTGTTGGGATTACGGGAAGTCTGTCTTCCACATGCACTAGGTTGTTGTGTTTGGGCGTTTGAATCAAGCATGGTGCTGGTGTGTTTCAGCACCCATGTTTTTCGCTGTTTTTAACAATGTTTCATTTCACTCAGTCTCAACGAATATTGATAGAGTTGCTTCATTGCATGTTCTAACATGTCGTTTAAAGTGCCCATTAAGCACACAAAAAGTTGCATTTACCTTAGAGTATAAATGACCTCACCACGTTTCAGTATATATATGACTATCACATTTTAAGGTGTTCCCATATATTTTGTTTGTAGTATAGTATCAATTATCATTTGTTATTTCTATTAATATTATTATTGTAATATTATTTGTAAAACGATCTTAGGTAAAGCAATACTTCAGTACCTCCAATTTTGGTGTCACAACTAATGAGGTACAATCGATCATGCACCTTTTACCACGCTCTTTCACAGATTCATACGACTGTTCTTCAGAAATTATTGAAGTTGTTCAGTCACGGTTACAACACTCAATGATGTCCAAAGGAATCCAACTGTTGTGTCTTGAAAATATACGTTCAAATGAACAATTTACTTGCCTTGCATGTGTTTATAACGGGTGCCTCTGAAGAAGCAGGATACGCTAAACATATGATTCATAAACACATACTCATGATGCGAGTTTAAACGGTGTTGTCGACTGTACTCTGGTAGAAGCTTCTTGTTGATGTGGACAATGATTTAGCTGTCTGGATATGAGTACATACAACCCATAAAGGTTGAATGGTTGGAAATTTATTATCTTGACCCTGTTCGTCCGGATATTGTAATTCTGGCAACCCTGTCCTCAATATTATTACCGCTAGGAAAGCGACAAGAAATGGCCAATGTCATTATAGAAACAAATGAATACTGCTGAACTATTTATAATTATTACTGATATAAATTGTACAGTTTATAGTTATGATGAGTGGTAAATTCCTGTGTTTTAATGATTCAGGTGTTTTTTGTCTATACAAGTAGTTGTGGGGCTCAACTTATATATTTTGCAGTTTTTATCATTGTTTTAATAACTTCTTTTTGATCCGTCCTCATTGATTGATTGTATATGCATGTACATCTCTGGCTTCCGGTAAATCTAGTATATATAATATGTTGTCTACATCTGTCTTCTATCACCTGAAGGGCAAAAAGTAACCCTGAAACGTCGTGTTATACAATAAAGAAGAGGTTGCTATCCATATACTCATCTATGTCCTCACCATTCATAACTTAACTTATAGTTTGGCTCTCTTATTTTATTTTTTGATAACTAGATTTGTAAGCTCAGCAGAAGTACTGTTAGCTCAGTAAAGATGACCTGTTGTCTCGTGAATGCAAGATAATCCAATTATGGGCAATTTGCTTTTTAATTTGATGAATTATGCTTTGAATTGCAGCTACAATGTGGTGTTCAGGCCATGTACGGTCTTGGTAAAACAACATCGAGCGGGGAATTATCAAAAGCCAAGTTTGTTGGAGTGAAGATTGTTCAGGTATGTTGCTCACTTCTCAAGATGTTCTGTACTAATATGTTGGATAGTAACCAAACACCATGTTCAATGTCTGTGAAATACATATATGCCTTGACCATGTCCTAAAATGAAATACAGACAGTGGGATCCACCTACAGTATACATGCCTTGTGTTTGCTCGTAAACAATACTTATGCTTCGATACATCTCTTTTGAATGTCGAATAATATTAATAATGAGTCCAAGCCAGAAGGTATGCTCCTAGCACTACATATTTACATTATTACTCCTGATAACCCAAGCTGGCTGTGAGGCGCTCGAAGGACTTGCCAGGTACTCATTTCCTGCTGGGTGAACAGAAGCAATGCTGAACAAACTGACATGCCTAAGGTGAAACCACATGCATCACATTGCATCACTGAAGTCCTAGAAACTCTCACCAGTCAAGCTGCCAACCACAGTCACCCATCGAAGGATGTGCGGCTAAACTTTACGATATCTGACATATCATTGATGTGATCAATATGGATGTTATGTGTCCATTTCCAAGGTGACACAGTGTCATAGCAGCCAGCTTGGAAGAAGTATGTGAATAACTAATTGCTTGTCTGTGTTGTTGTGTGAAGGTTGTATCAGTGGACATAATCAAAGGCGCTGTCCAGGAGGTTGAAGTACTGTAAAATGATGTACGATGTGTGACGCGTAATTCCTGTCACAACTGACATAACTATCACCAACCAGTATTTTAATTTTGGGCTAGCATTGGGTACAACCACCAGTAGATAAACTGGTGACGTAAATCTTGCTGGAGCAACACGCAGCATCCAGAGGTACCATAATTGCTACCGATCCCTGCAAGGTGACTCTTAAAAACAGTTATAAATGATACTGTAATGTGAGCCTATGAGTAACTAATATGAGTCAGTAGTGTCTATATATATATATAAACTTGACTTGCTATATGACTGAAATATCGCTTCGAATGCTTATTACGTTTATCGTCTGTCTCGTCACTACAGAAGGAGTGAGTGAGTGAGTTTAGTTTTACGCCGCACTCAGCAATATTCCAGCTATATATAGGCGGTCTGTAAATAGTCGAGTCTGGACCAGACAATCCAGTAATCAACAACATGAGCACACTACAGAAGGAAGCTTTTTCGGATAATGTAAGCTATTGTGGAAGTTTACAATGAAATACACTCTTGTTTTCAATACCAAATATTAAGAAAAAGGAAATGGTTAATCGGATTGTCTGTATACCCCATGTCACCAACACGATAAAAAACCGGTTATACTAATATAATATGATTTGTTTCCTATGAGGGTCCGGGACGTAACTCTTATTGGGCCCTTTCCAATCAACACTCATATTTCATTGAATTTATTGTGATCCCTGTAGCAGATATCCAGGCAAAATGTCTACACCCGCATGAGGAATCTGAGCCCATGAGATCAGAGCTCCAGCAACAAGTCTTGCTACTTGGAACACTGAATCCATCCATCCAATGAAAGTCACACGATATGTTTTCAAACTCATACTTTAGGTAAATTTACGTCATTGACAGATTACAATTGAAAATTAAAACAACAATGTCTTTATTGTTTTAACTAAATGCCTATATGTTCACAATCCAATGCTACGTACCGCCATACATTAACATACAGAATTAGGCCCATTTGCGTACAGTAATAACTGAGATAAGCAGATGTAATTCAACTCATTAAAATTAAGTACCAGACAAGAACAACTAGTCAACCTTCGTTGACTAGAGATTCCCTACAAGGGAAGGGAGGTAACTCTGTGTAATCTGCCTGACTACAGATACAAGACATTCAGACCGATGTTGAAGGACTATTCTCACAAGGACCCGCTGTGGCATCCGCGTGCGTGCGCGCTGGTGCCTGTGATGATTTGCAGGGTGATTCCGAAACCACAATGTAAATTAAAATTTGATCTAGATAATTGTATGTAGTCATCAGCAGACTGGGTGATCGGCGCAGACAGCACTGGGCAAATGGGTGGTAGGGATTGCAGGGACCACATAAGCCGCACAGGCTTGTCATAATAGTCACCGTACACCCAGTCTGGACTAGCACATTGTGTATCAATTTCTCAAAATAATACAACTTGCAAATTGTCAGAATGTTTCTGATTGCTTACATGTCACATTTTTATGTGTGTTACGGTTAAATTTGCCGTGACAAAAGGTTTAAAAGTCCCCTTTGAACCAGCAAAATAGAACACAGACAAGTCTAATATTCAATAATATATTGAACAAACAATGAGCAAGCTACAATGAATGACACTAGAAATGTTTAATATAAGATGTTAAGTCACTGGTCAGACGCTTCACATTCACAGTGAGAACAGATATACTGATTGAAGGTTGTTTTCAATGACAGCAGTTGAATAGACAAGCACGCGATACAAAAATAAGTTGGTTTCCGGAACACTGAAACTGAGAAGAAACGACATGGAAACCACCATTTACAGTTGGTTTCCATGTAGTTTCCTATAGTTTCATTGTGGTTTCCATGAAAACTTAAACTGAATTTTGCACCATTTCCGGCTGGTTTCCAGTGCGATTCATTACCCACTCCTCCAAGCTGGATCCAACTGGTTTCCGTTTTTTCGTTTATTGTAGGTTTCAACCTGGTTTCCGTTTTTTCGTTTATTGTAGGTTTCAACCTGGTTTCCGTTTTTTCGTTTATTGTAGATTTCAACCTGGTTTCCATGTTTTCGTTTATTGTAGGTTTCAACCTGGTTTCCATGTTTCCGTTTATTGTAGGTTTCAACCTGGTTTCCATGTTTTAGTTTGTTGTAGGTTTCAACCTGGTTTCCATGTTTTAGTTTGTTGTAGGTTTCAACCTGCTTTACATGTTTTAGTTAGTTGTAGGTTTCAACCTAGTTTCCAAGTTATAACCTAGTTTCCATTAAAACTGAAACTACATTTTGCACCAGTATCTGGATAGTATCCATGTCGGGACTTTGCCCACTCGTTCATGGAGGCTCCTGCTGGTGCTTAGTTTATTGTTGTTTCCAACCTAGCTCCCAGCTTATAACCTGGTTTCCATGAAACTGAATCTGTTGTGCTGGCCCCTTACCCGCTCCTCCAGAAAAGAGGTTGTGCTTCATGCAACACGCATACCAAATCAGGTATTTTATACAATTGCACAATGGTAAACCGTCAGGATGACAAATAACAGAATAAAACACAAAGTCATGATAGCTTTATTTACATTCAACAATTTGCTGATAAACAACTGATATTTGGAATGTTCACATTAATAAAAACTGAATTTTCAAAATGCATAAATAATTAAAAGCAATAAGGGAATAAATAGCAGTGAGTATGGGATGTTTTCTTAAATTCATCAATGTAGATGAATCCATATTATTTGGTTTTCCAATTTGAGAAATGTTAACTCTTTCCCCAAGAGAGGAATAACTTTCTGTTTCTTCTCCGGCCAGTCAATCGTTGTCAGGACCTTCCTCCTGCTTTCCAGCTTCTGAAAGTTAGAAAACAATAAACAATCAGTACAAACAAGCATTCGTCAACACTATCGCTAGCTGGAAAACTGTCCAATATTCCTTAAGCTTGAAGAAAACTAAACTGTAACCACTGTCCAATAAGCATGAAGTTCAATAAATGAAAACTGATCATTTGACCTGAAAAGTGACGAAAGTTTCAATCGCAGAAGAACTTAATGAAATTTGTAAGAGTAGAGACACAAGCGACAGAAGGACGTATTTCCTTAGCTTGTGTTGGACATTTGATGACTGACAAAAAAGATTTTCTTTCACTAAATAACAGTTGTGACTTATAGGAAACATTGACATTGAATTAATAACATTTCTTAGGAATGCACACTAAATTCATGCTATCATTGCCTATATTTCCGAGAAATTCTTACGTGAAAGCTATAACTTATTTTCTGAATGTTACATGCATAATGCTTTGATATTATATGTATAGAACTACGAATTATCCATTATTCTGAAAATAATGTGAAAAGAAATATTTGGGTTTTAAAAATAAATAATGTGGGGTCATTCTGGCAGACAAGAAATTGAATGGGGTCATAGGCGGACCTCCATAACTAATATCTCATACCGCTATTGACAATGTGTTTGAAGCTACTATTTAGTGGGGTATTGTTAATAAATTGTTCATTGATGTGTGCAAGGTGAAATATGTCCAGACCAAACCATAATGTACATTGGCGCTTTACTATGTACTATTTAAAACTCTTTTAGCTGCATATTTCTAATTATACATTGCACGTATTAAACAGTGGTTATTTTGAAAGTTCTTTGGAATATCAGTGTACATTTTCAAGAAATAACATTAACTTGATTTTTTTTCAAATAAGGTTTTTCTTTAAATTTTAACCTGTGTAAGATTAGAATTGAGAACGATTAGAATTTACTTACACATCTGAATCTTTTGTTGTTCTTTGCGGACAAAGGCCTCTGCTTTCCCACTTCTTTGTCTTCTAGGTGAACGAACCCTATTGTTCGTCCAAAACCGCCAAACTGCTTCTGAAAGGAGATGTGTATAAGTGGAAAATATTTCCAGTTGGAAGTTACGAAAATAGTGGTTGTGTAATTTTTATGTATTGTTCTGATTCATAGGATTTACATTATTTGGATAATTTTATGTACATCATTTACTGAAGGGTTTGGATTACACATAGCTGTTGCAGGTCAAGATCAGTTACTCATCTTCAGTTTTTCCAACACTGCCCCAATGGAATGCTGGAAATATAGAAATTAAGGGAAAAATCAGGAACTTTCTAAGTGATTTGTACTCTTGATAACAATAAGGCATGAAAATAGAAGAATAAATATAAATTTGCAAGGTGTAGATATGCTAATATCAAAAGAAGCAAAATTAACAAGTTCATATAATTTTAGGTTGACAATGTACATCAATGTATCCCCAACATATCCTATTAAACGTTCTATATATCCAACTTTCTTTGCAAACTTCTTTTGTGGATCTAACAAAATCCACATC